GTCCTTTCCAACCCTGATATTCTATGATTCTATGGCACAGCTGGATCCAGCCCCCAGCGTCGTGCCTGGGCACAGCTGAGTGCACAGGCCGGTCCCCGATGGGGAGGTAGGCCCATGTGCTCTCCAGCCTCTCCCCACTCACCTGGCAGGCTGCCCCCGGTCATAGGATTTCCTCCGGGTCAGAGGCGAGGTGTCCGAGCCACGGGACTGCCTAGGGCTGGAACAGAGCAAGACCAGATCAGCAATCACCCCTCCTAGGGGCCAGGGCCCTTCAGCGCTGAACAGGCCTACCCCAGAGCAAGCGAGCCGAGAGCCCTGGGGCAGCGCACAGATCCACCTCCCGAGCCAGGGGTCCAGCGGGCTGGATCAGGCCCCGGCAGGGCCCAAGGCCAGGCCAGCGGCCCCGACTAAGGGTTTGCGCTGTGAGCGCAGGTCCTGTTGGCTTCATCAACGAGACTGCTGCTGGAGAAGGCAGCTCCGTGCCTTCTATAAGAGGGCTGTGGAGACTGGACGCCCAACTCTGTCCGACAGCAGAACCCGGTTTGTGCCCGCCTTCCCCAGGCCCCATCCCCCCCGATGGGCAGTTTGTGGACACTGGCAATCCAAGATGGCAGAGCAAGCTGGCCCCACCACTGCATGCTGGGACAGGCTGGGTCGACCGAGAGGAGTCCAGACTCAAGGCTCCAAGGGCAGAATACGATGGCCCAGCCCACCTCTTCCCCCAAGGGCCTGTAAGCACATGGGGCCCATGCTTGCCAGGGCTTACAAGGTGCTGCCACAGGTGGGCAGGCTGATGGTGCGGGAGACCTTATCCTTGTAGTAGGAATCCTGGATGGAAAAGCCGATCCCGTCTTCCTTGATCTCCATGAGGGACACCAAGGACTTGGTGATGTTCTTGGTGGAGCTGTCCAGCGTGGGTCCCAGGCACTCGGCCGACACAGCCTTCATCTGGCCTGACAACTTGGGTTCCCCCTATAGAGTGGCACAGGGAGGGGTGGGCTGAGAGGCGAGGAGTTCACTGCCCTGAGGATAGCACGTGGAGCAAGTCTGAGACGCTGGCGCCCCTTGGCCATTCAGTTCCAAGAAGCCTCTGGGGCCAAGCACCCAGCAGTGGCAGATCTAGAGAAACCTCTCAGTTGGGC